GAAAAAGGTAGAGAAAATAGATAGACTAAATAGATTGTTCTATTAATCCTTTCCCCCGCTTGGGTCATTTTCGACCCATTGGTAGAAATGATGTAGTGGAGTAACAAAGGATTGGCTCAAGCAGCTTCATGAACGTTGTGTAGAGAATTCAACAAGCTATAGATTCGTAAAAGATAACTTTATTTTTCATCACTTCTTGGCTAAGATATTTAAGTCTGAAAATGATGAATTTTCAAAAGAGTGTAAAATCTGAATTTTGTTTCGCTTGCACAGATTGATAATTTTTGTATTCTGGCGGTTGATATATACTGCTATGGGCATCATCTATTTGCAGGAAAGCGTTTAAACATTTCTTGATTAGGGATGTGGGAATAGCATCCTTCAGGGCAACATGGGTCATCTTTGACCCATTCGGGGTGAGTGACATGAAAATTAGTTTTTTGCTGCAAGTATTTTGTTTCTTGATATAAGTTACATCATCGTTCTTTTCCTTAGACCTAGACTTTAGAACACGAGCAGTTTATATTCAAAGAGCTGACGGTGTCAACAGTATCAAAAATCTGTTTTCTCCATTAATTTGCAATATTCCTAGACCATAGGCATGCACCGTTTTCAACTGAAGAATTATAACTATAATATTTCTGGATTTTTTAGTAACGTCAAAAGTATAATCTTTGCCTAGTGGTCGAGTTCTAAGCTTATCCAGAAATCTGAATATTTATTTAAGTTATCCTGAACCATTCCTCAAAATACAGGTTTCGATATTTTGGACCGCGTGTGTTTATAATAAAATTTTAAAGACTGGTCGAAATAAAACTATAATATACATACACTACGTATTATAAAGCACACGTACAATAACCTCTCAAGGACTTATAAGTAGAGGAAATATAAGTCTCTCACATTGGGCGAAGTAGCTCGTTGTAGACTTTCTCACGGTGATTGGTCGATGAGATACGAATTTTTTTCTCTAAAATAGGACCGGTTATTAACCGCTCAGTTTTTCAGCTAAAAGCTTTGTATCTCGTTGACCAATCATCGTGAGAAAGTCTACAATATCTTATTTTGTAGAGCAAACATTTGTTGGCAAAACTAAAGCTAAATTCCTATAACCGTGAATTTACTGAGCGTTTACCATTGTTACTCTCTATTACACGACAACATCATAACTTTCTTGTGACTTTTAACCATTTTTCTCACATTTTGTCGGATAAAACTAAAAATATATATAGAACTGACAATTCCAAAATGTTCATAATAGTTTACACAAAGTAACAGATAATAAGAGAGATTTTGTCCTTCAAAACGTGAATAATCTTGGGAACAAGCAAAAAAATGATAGCATGCAAATATTTTTATTTATTGAGGCGAATAATCTGTAATACAGACAGTCTCAAGCGCAAAATATCTAGAAGACGACAAGTAACGTCTGTTAAAATGTAGAAAGAGACCGTTAAAACACAATAAACACAACTATCGGCACAGTTGCTGCGTAAAAGACCGCAATATCCTGGCAAGTCCAGACAACATAAGCGTTTCATCTTTATAATGCGCAAAATTTGAAAAAGCTTTAGTAGTAGCAAGAAAAGACATTCTCTGCCATACTTATTTTTCCTTTCAGGCAACCATTATCATAGCACATTGTTATAGCGTCCGATCTCAGCATTGTCCATCTCACTACTTCGCCATTGTCCGCTCTTCGGCTTCATATAGAGATCCTTTTTATTAAGCAACATTTATAGTGTTAACGATCGCATGAGGAAAATGATTCGATTTCTCCTTTTTTCGATAAAATGTGGCAACTGTCACAGTTGCGTCATTTTATCGAAAAAAGAAGGAAAAAATTAAACGAGAACTATTGCATTTGAAAGATGAGCATAACCTCACTGATAAAGGAGTCGATGCCATTGAGAAATTTATTAAAAAACATCAGAAGTTTTTTTCAATCCATTTCGTTCGTAAAAAGAGGAAGGAAGTTAATCAAAAGTTTCCCATTGTTAGTGTCGTAGACGGTTCTTATGTCCAGTTTGAATATGCTATAAAAACTGCTTTATTCGTAGCACAGCGTAAAAATCGAAATCTTCATCAGCTACCACAGATAACCTTTCGGCTGAATATGGATGGAACCCTTATTGGTAACAAACATATTGTAGCTATATCTGTTAATTGTGTTGAAGGTGGTCGTGTTTGTCAGTCACCAAAAAATTTAGTTCCTGTCGGTCTCTTTGAGTTTCCAAAAGAGGCATGTGAATTATATCGAAAGATCCTTCCTAAGTCGTTCCTAGATAGCCTGAGTAGCGTTAAATATGTCCTTTTGAATAAGAAAGACATTCCTATCAAGCTAAAACTTGGAGGTGATTTCATGAATGCCGTTTATGTCTTTGGGTTAGCGGGCGTTCAATCGAATTTTCCTTGCATATTTTGTACACAACATAAAAGTAAATTAGGACAACCCGATACAACTTCTTACTTTGATATTCAAAAAGATGCGCGAACGTTAGAAGAACAGAAATTGTGCTTGAAAAAAGGAGAAAAGAACAATAAAGGTTATAAATGTGAACCGTTATTTGGAGATTTGTTTGAGTTTAGTGACTATATAATGGATACCTTGCACATGAAGTTGAGAGTATATGATGTTTTTATGACCGATATATTGCATCATGCATCCAAACGAGAAAGATATGGAAAAGAACATGATGTACAAATGGAAAAGAAAGTTGATATTTTAAACGAACATTCAAAGAGACTGATCGGAAAAAGAGTTTTTTTGCATATGACGCTAAACAACAGGTAATTAAACTTCACGGAAGATTTTCGAGGCATTTGCAGGATTTGTTTTTTAAAAATTTTCCTTATGACAAGCTTTTAGATGGAAATGCTATAGCTGATGTCAAAAAATTAGTGAATGATTTTCGAGAATTACTTGACCTTCTAAAAATTGATCCCTTGAAACGTGGAACAAATCTGAAAAGTGCTTGTGTTCAGTTTCTTCAAACGTTCAATGCTGCTTGTTTACGAAGTAATGTGACACCGTATCTTCACATAGTTGGAAATCACTTGTACGAGTTTGACGAGAAAGAAGATTTAGGGGCTTTCAACATGCAAGGAGTTGAGAAGGGAAATGATCTTTTGTCCGGTTATACTTTTCTTTAACAAATGCAGCAAAAAAACCGTTGTATACTATGATGCAAAAGTTATATCGCATGCTACAAATGGAATGTAGTGCAGAAGAGCGAGAAAAAAGGGACATTTTTATGAACACACATGTGTATGATATTGAAGACGATGATTTTATAGTACTTCCGGATGCGAATATTCAAAATAATGAAAATCTAGAAATAGATTATGACATTATTACTTCCGGAAGCAATGATTCAAGCTCAGACGCTGATGAAGACGAAAATCAAAGTGATGAAAATTCTTGGTTTAATTTGAGCAACAGAAACATATTGACCGCTAGCCGTTTCTCTTCCTTTAAAAAAACAAAATATAAATTTAGAATTGCTTTGGACGAACCAAGGAAGACAGTAGGCTTCTGTTGAATTGAGTTTGGATAACATATCAGCGACTTGGAGATGGATCCGCCTGTGTGATCGATCCATCACTGGTATGTTGTCCAGTCTCTTTTTAACTAGAAATCTCTTCTTCCTCTCCGCCCTACTATCGACCTACCTCAGCCTTTTGCAATACCCACCATCCTTTTATAATTACGTAATACATCTTGTTTTAACATTTATTTAGCTAATATGCAACCATGTCGTCCACAACATACTCTCGGATTTTATCGACAATTAAATAACACTGGTTTAACAACTACTGCATCACCACCTTTACACGCCCTTCCAGTTCAAGAGATTCTACCTCAACCACCTCGTCTGTCATCAGTTCAGCCGTTAATCCAGCGTTTTATATTCCACGGCGCTCTAGCTAAACGTGGCTGGCAGAAGAACAAATCTTTTTTTATCACCCAACATCAGTACAAACAATTAAAATTAGCAGGAACAAATGGTCATTATAAACCATCAGAACTGTTATTAAATGCGTTAAATGTGGACTTACAATTTCATCATGAAGGAAAATTACACCAAGCAACTAACATACAGTTTCGAATTATTAAACAAAAAAAAGAAAATTATGAAACACCAACAGTACAGAGCCGTGCAATTATTAATATTTTCGTTCTGTCTGTTCGTTTTATTCGTGCACAACCAACTCATTTAGTGTAGGTTTTTTTGTTCGATAAAATAAGTAACTCACTTTTCATTCTTACTGATCTTTCTTCTGCGTATTCGATTGTTTCGAATATTCAATAAAAATAGAATTTATTCTTCTGTTACACTGAGTTGAAAAGAAAATTATTATACATGTTGTGTCTCATGATAAGAAAAAAAGCAAAATGAACAAGAATTGGACGATCAAGAAGAATAATAAATGCGGCTTAGAGTAGAACGATAATAGTGCTATTTTTCTTATAAATGCCGATTTTATTATTCTTTTTCCTTGATTCATTTTATTATTCATTTGGCTTCTTTTTTCGTATCTTGACAAACATTATACAGTAGTCTTACTTGCGCTGGATTCATGTTCGTCAGTTTATAAGTGTGATCAAACTGAACTAGTAGAGGGATTATACAGACAGGAATGTCATTGCAGTGAGAAACACAACGATAATTGAGCAGAAATCATCAAATTTTTCTAAGATCCAATGTGACTCTCATGACCCGAAGAGAAAACCGGAAAGTCATGATGGTCAAAAAGAGTTTACTCAACTGCTGAACATAAAAAACTATGATTTTTCTTATGCTCAGCTGTGATATTAATAGACATATAACTCAAGAAATACAATGTACCTTTTTCTACAAAATAGCTCAGCGTAGAGTACAACTTGTGTTCTTCAAACTGGCATAAAAATCGGAGAGGGGTATATCCTAATTATTTTTATTTTAATTCTCGAAGTTAGCAGAATGTAGGGAACATTTACGCTAAACACTGCTTCTTTCGAATATAGAATAAATGAAGCTCGATCAAAATATAAATTTTTTCCTTTCCTTATTTTGTTCTTTGAAGCAGTGGAGCGCGTCGTTGTATATATGTGTCTAGTACGTTATATTTCATCGAAATGTTCATTTATTCTATGTTCGAAAGAAGCAGTGCTCACTGCGAGTTTATCCTATACTCTACCAACTTCACAGATTAAAAAGTTAACAAATTTAAAAATACCCCTCTCCAGTTTTTCTGGCAGTTTGAAGTACACAAATTGTACTCTGTGCCCAACTATATTTTAGAAAAAGATACGTTATACTTTCTGAGATAAACTGCTGTCAATATCATAGCTAAGCATAAGGAAAATATGTACTTTTAATTGCCATCGTAAATATTTCTATCAGCATTTATATGTGCACTTATTTTCAAACAGTTTCCTGACTGTATTTCTGCCAAATATAAGAGGTTTTTTGGTTTATTTTAAGCAGTTCCCGACTAGCATGAGTTTCCGGCTTTCTCTTCGGATCATGCTAGTCTTTTAAGATCCAAGAGGATACACGGCAGACGATTTCCTGCTCTTGTGAAATGTGTTAGCAGGTCAATATAGAGTATAAAGTAGCTGTATGAGAAAATTTTTGTTACTATTAAACACAAACAACAAATTGAATTGACTTTTCTCTTTTTGGTCATTTATGTCTCTCACTTATCTGTTATCTCAATATACTTTTACTTTTTTCTTACTTTTGTTTAGCTCTGCAGAAACTTAATAGTCACTTTCAATCGATTAAGCAGCCAGACGTATACATGATCATACATAATTTCCTGATTTAGCCATGTGAAATAAATTTTCATCTTTAATCAAAAGAGCAGAACGAGAAAAACGAAATGAAGGTTTAGTATTAAAACATTAGTCAACATTGTATATGCGGCGAATAGTAAAGTTAGAAATTTGAATAATCTTTTGCACGCATGTTGTTCGAAAGACATTTTCAAGATACTTCGCTGTACAAACAATCCTACGGCAAGGATCATACTCAGTTATTTGTGCTGGCGGAAGATGTGGAGCATCTGTTTCTAAAATTAATCTTCTTAATATAGTTTCATCGCATAACCATGTCTTCATTTTCTTATCTTCTTCAACGTTTTTGAGATATGTGATGGAACCATTTAA